ATGTATGAAATAATCATTATGTGCTATATGGATACATTTTATCCTGAACCTGTTTTATAAAATACAGCCACACACACACACAATATATCTGTGCTTGTTTTGTTAAATCGTGACGAACTTTAATGATTAAATATGGTAGTTTTTACTGAATGATTAAATAGGGTAGTTTTCCTTTGGTTTAATGCTTTTTGGTGTTAAAATGATAAACCAGAATATCTGAAATCTAGTATCTTCAGGTTAATGATACAGGTCACTGTATTAATTCCAAAAGAACACAGTGACGGAGTGGGGTGGAAAAAAAGACAATGAATGCTAGGTATTACAATTTAGATACTTTTTTTTTCTATTTATGTGAACAGGGGAATGGATGTGTAATATATGTACTTGCACAGCTGCATTCCAATGCTTTAAAATGTGTTATCCAGCAAAGCACATAAACAACAGAGCATTATCACACTCGGGAATTACCAGTGAGACCACCAACATGTCAGTGTGTCATTCATCATAATCTGAACTGCTGGGCCTAAATCACCCATTCTGTAATGGGTCAACCCATTCTGCACTGGGTCAACCAGGCAACTGTGACCTTGGGTACATCATTCACAGCCTGGCAGACCACATGTCCCTGAAAACGGAACTGGAGCAAATCTTGTTAATTATCACAATGGTATGAATTTCTTAGTAATAAACATCTTTAAAAACTTTAGGACAATTCTTCTGGAATTCAAACTTCTAGATAAGTGATCTATATTTTTGATCATTCTATAATTTAGCAAATGTCAAGTCCTTGGTCAGGAGTGCACAGTCCAATTATGCCATCCTTCTTATTAAAAATAAGATATACTTATTGTGTTTTCCAGAAATGCACACTAAAGAGAAGACAAGGTCTGCCTATACTTGTTTCTGTAATTAAAGTTTTATCTTATTAATAAAATTTAAATGCATCCAGGAAGTTTCACATTTTGAATCTGCCCCATTACTACAGGATCAAGCTGCCAAAATAAAGCAAAGATTTCTAGATTTTAAAAAACTGACATCCTCTACCATAATCACTGAAAACAATGAAGTGTTCAGTAATGTGTCACAGTTACTTGACAGTTGACATGTAACAATACCTGTCCTCTCCTCAGATCTTCACTTAGGGGAAAGAAAAAAACCTGAAAGGTGGTAAAAATAAAACAGGAAAAGGAAAAGAAACAATAAAACATTTTTTTCAAAATCAATGATTATACTTTAATAGAACATTTTCCCTATTGATAAAATATAAGAAATACATATATATTGACAAAGTAGAAATACTATAAAATCTATGTACTATACTGTAGAATACTATATAATCTTTGAGGTTAAAAATAGCTGCACATTCACTAAACATGATCTCCCACACAAAAGCCTCATTTTCTATAATAAAATACTTATATAGTTGATATTTTTCGATATTTTTCAGTGTATCATGGGTACCTGTTATTTAAAGGTAGCTATTTTCACACAACACATTGTATAATACACATTGTATATAACACATTTCTATAAAACAAAAATAACCTCCATAATTTTATTATTTTGAAAACTTCATATTTAGATTTACTATCATTTATACCTACTCTATTGCAACGAAGAATAAAGTATTACTCTAGGTCAGGCTTATGATTCAGTAAATGCTGTATCTGGCAGCAGTGGCAAGGAATTTGTAGAACAGAAGAGCTATAGTTCCTACCTATTCATCCTCTAAACAGTCAAATATTCCAAAGCATATTAGTATTTTTAAGTAACTCACTAAAGAGTTCACCTAGACCAGTTAGGAAGCTAGTTTGTTTTTTATCTTGTACCAACCCTTACTTTGCTTACATAGTACTTCCTTTATTATCTTAAATTTGCTTCTTTAAACATTTGGCCTAGTTCTAGCCTATCATGCTCTGACCCACGTTTGAGTTTAACCACAAGGGTTTTTTTGTTTTGAACACCATGAGATTCGTGTGAGGTCTTAAAGCAAGAAGGCCAGTGTAAAGGAACTAAAGAAACTACCCGTGTTGTTACTGAGGCACTGAGGTCTTTTTAAATTGTACATATTTTAATGAGATTAAAACGATTAAAAAAAAAACAGACATAAGATTCATAATCATTCTATTCTTGACTTTCATGATTCATTCAGCAGATATTTATTAAGTCTACAATATATAAGTGCCAGGCATTGTGTTAAATGCTGAGGATTCAAAGGCGCGCGGGGGGGGGGGGGGGGGGGGGGGGGGGGGGGGCGGAGTCTGCTTTCAAGAATTCACAGTGTACTAGGGATGAGACCATAAATATAAACTCCTACACAGACAAATCCTGAAATCTTTTAACCTGGAGAGAAATATTTTGATGTATTTACTCAAGTAAATGATTCTTTAAAAAAAAACGATGTTACTCTGGTAAAATACAATTATTATCTGATAGGAACCTACCGGGGAGGAAACAGCATAATAGTGAAAATATTAGACCTCTGAGTGGACTTTTTCAACCTTTCCGTCACTGTCTTCTATATTTCCAAATTGTATCAGAAGCAATTTACTTGAAATAGCTGAACAAGCAAAGGAAACTAAATATCTAAAAGCAATTTGTTAGAATTTAGTTTTAATAAATCTTGGCAACATTGGCTCTGTTTGACATATTTTACGCCAGAATAGCAAAATTCTTTGAACATAGCAAATTGTGGAATCCTATCTGTCAAGTTCTGGAAAACATGATAGTAACTGAAATAATAAGGCTTCACCAAATGAGACCTCTTATAATACTCTATTTGTTTCTGGAAAATACATGACCTCTAACTACTGGCTTATTTATACCCTGAATTTTTCCACAAAAGATTTGAAGCAGCTACACTGATATAAAATGAAACACATGAATTGTATCCACCTGGCTCTGAATTATGGCTCTGCCATTTACTATTTATAATCTTTGTGCCTTTTAACTTCTGAGATTTGGTTTCCTAATCTATAACAATGGGGACCATAACCCTACCCTGCTGGGTCATAGGAAGGATAAAACGAAACAGTAACATAGCACAGTACCTGGCATATAGTTTGTGCTAAATAAACATCAGTTTTGTGCTTCCTTATCCAAATGCATTCCTTGTAGAAAAAAGATAAGGTGGAATTTTAAATGATATTGTTTTCCTACACATTGATACATGCCAAGCAGAAATGTGGACTGATCTTGAGTTGCAATTGTTAATGTTTGTATCTAAAAATCAGGCTCAGAGCAAATTTAATTTCTTTCCACAAGTTCAGTGCTTTGAGAACATGTTATGAATCTTTCAGCTGTATTATTTAACGCAAAAAATTTTCTGGGGAAAAATATGAAAAGAGCCCTTGCACACTGTCTTTCACACTATCCATTAAAAGGATGATTAAACATCATAAATTTGGCTTTTTAATAAAAGATTTATAGTATTAGTCTGGTCAACAATTTTAAATAAAGTTCTTGTAATTCTGCCAGTCTTAAAAACATGATTTCCTTTCTTTCTTTCCTTTTCTTTCAACATATATCAATGTATTCTCCATTGAAGAGCAGCATTTAGTTCAGGTTTTACAAATATGATCCAAGTAGCAAAATACTAAGCACCAATCATAAGCACTATTACAACTCTTCGTGCGTTAAGAAGAAGCAAACATTTTTATACAACAGTGGAGGTGACTGGGGGGAAAAAAAGTGAAAAGCGATTTGAACTGATTCCCGCCCTCTCCATTATACCCGAGAATAAAAGTGTCCCGCATCTCAGATCAAACTGAGCCCCGGTTTTACTGACGTAACCGGTAACCCTATCTACCTCTCACACTGCGGAGGCCGGCAGGGCAGCGGCTGCCGCCAAGCACACCACTCATCAGAGCCTGCCCCATTCCACCCCCGCGTTTCAGTCATGCTTTCCAGAAATGGGGTCACTCACTCAGTAACTATTACACACACGCAGCCTATCATCCTGTAATCCCCCAAAGTCCGCTGCGGGGAGAGAAGGCAGCAAAAAGTCAAGAAGGAAGAATCACAGACGCGCCACCATCAGGAACTGATTTTCCTTCCACTCCGGAGAGGAGCGGTGATACCCTGGAAAGGGTCTTGTCTGGATTATTTTCGCAGACCCCGAGATGCTGTGGGATAGGGGCGGCTGAGAAAAGCTCGGTGCAGTGATGCGCCCTGGGAAATTCTGTTTTGCGCTGTTTGGGCATATTGTTTGGGTTTTGGGCACTCGGGTGGGTGTCTCAGGGACGGTCACCAGATCCCGGGTGAGGAAAACCAGAAAGCCCTTTACGGCGGCCGCTGATCTCCTTGAATATCACCCTCTCACATCCATGGACAGGAAACTCAAGTTAAACTCGAAGGGACGGAGGGCGAGCTCTGCGACCTCAGAAACGGAGGTGGTAGGGGACCTTGGGCTTCCACTTTCTCCTTTGCAGCAGCAGAAACCGCTGCGGCAGACGGGGAAGGGGAGGCAAAACCCTGCACCCCTTACCCGAACCCCCCGCAGGTCGCCGCCCCTGGCCCCGCGCGCCGGTCTCTCCGCAGCAACCCCTCCCTCGGCCGGACTCGAGAGTCCCAGCTCCTCAGTGAATCCGATCCCTACCCCTCCCACAACCCCCAAAGTCGCTAAGGTCGCGGGGAAGCCCCCGACCCGGCTGGGGCAAACTTCCCAACTCCCCGCCAGCCCCCGCTCCGCCTCCCGCTTCCCCCACGCAAAGTTGATTAAAATTGGCTTCTTGCAAAGCCCCAGCGCCCACTCCAAACCCCACGCGCCGCCACACTGGCAGCCCCCGGAGCGAGGGAAGGAGGTGAGGGTGCGGGTGGGAGGAATAGACAGTCAGACTGGCAAAGAGACCCACCCAGACAACCCAAACCAAAACCCTGAACCCGGGGGAAAGACGCGAGCGGGATCAGAACGGGCAGAGTGGCCAGCTCCGGGGAGCGAAGCGAGCCGGCGGGGGCGCGGGGAGGAGGCGCGCCAGCCCCAGCCACCCTGCTGCACTCACCTCAGCGCTGTCGGACGGGCTCTCCACAGCCATCTTCTGCCACGGGTCCGCCAGCTGCGCCAGCGGCATCTTCCCCCCCGGCCCGCCGCCTTCACCGCCTCCTCCCTCCCCGCCCGCCCCGCGGCCGGCCCCGCTCCGTCGCCGCCCGAGCCCCACGGCAGCGGCAGCGGCAGCAGCAGCAGCAGCAGCAGCAGCAGCAGCAGCGGCGGCGGCCCCGCAGAGGGCTCGACGCCGACGCCGACCGCCCGAAAGCCGCGCGCCTGGCCAGAGACGCCCGCGCGCTGAGCGAGAGCCTCGCGCCTCCGCCGGGCACCGGGTCTCGCCCCTTTCTTCCTCTCCTCCTTCCGCCGCCGAGACTACGGCTCCGCCCCCCCCGCCGGTTCCCGCGCCCGCTCCCAGCCGAACAGCGACCGCCGCGCGCTCCCCCACTTCCGCTCACAACATGGCGCCTAAGCGATACCTGTCTCTCAAAGCGAGGCTCGGCTGCCGCCGCCACCGCCGCGCGCACCCAGGGGCTGGGCTAGCGGAGGACACGCCCCTGGCTGCCGCGCTCCGCTCCTCCCTCTTCCCACCCCCCTCCTTCTGCGCCCCAACCTCAGCTTCTGGGCCTCGCCTACTTTCAGGAAGGGCGAGCCCAAGAGATCTGGGGGCGTCGGCGGCAGGCGGGGGAAAGAAATCGGAAAGGCAGCAGGGGCAAAGGCTAGGAGCCTTTCACTGCCAAGGGTCCAAGCAGGTCGTAGGCTACTCGGGAATGAAGGAGAACAGTGGTCCCCTCCCAGCTGCGGAGGGAGGTGGGCAAAGTATTGGGGGCGCAGTCCCGAGCCAAGGACCCGGGGAGGGGTGTGGAGTGTCTTTTCGGCTGGTCTCCTCCGGGGGTGCGTGCGTGCGTGCGGGCGCTCCTAGTCTCTGGGGGCATCCCGTAATGGCCCAAGACCCTCCCTCTCCAGGGTCACATGCTGGGAATTCACCTGCCCCCAACCTCCCCCGACAGAGGCACTGGAGGCTTCGTGCCTGGGAGCTTCCTGGGGGCTCGGCTCCCGGCTTGATTCAAGTCTCTCCAAGTTGACGCTCTCGTGTTAAATTGTGGTTATTTGGTATTCATTCAGCTTTTATTAGTAGCTTCCCTCGCACACCCCCCACCCCCGACCGGCCCAAATTCTCCTCAAGTGCGCAGAGCTCTTGGCCTTCAGCCTAGACCCTCGAACCCCTGCCCCCCCACTTCTGCTACCTAAATCTTCAAGAGGGAGAAAACAGGGATGTTCCTTAAGGCTATCCCTCTCGGCAGAGGTTGGAGAATTATTTAAAAATATCTTGTAGGCAGGAGCGCGGGGTTCCTGCTCCTCTGTTGACTTTAAATAGGAGATTAGATTAAAAAATCAGGCTGGCCGTGGGCGGAGGAGGAGGACAGAAGGAGGGGAGGGGTTCTGACTCCTCCTCCTGCCCAAGATGGGGAAGCCCTAGGTTAAGAAAACCCAGTGCCCCGACGGCGACGGAGCCCCACAGGACGGGGAGAGGTTGTGGGGGAAGGCCTGGGCGTCCGGGGTGCGTCCTAGGAGGACTCGACCCTGTGTTCACTGCGCCAGGAGACGCTGCGCGCTAAGTGCGCCCAGGCAGAAACGTGTAAAAGTCGCAGGGCTGAGTGGAAAGCTACTGCAGCCCCTGGCTAGTCGCCCAGTGAGGGGAAGAGAAAAAGCAAAGGGAAATCTCCGAGCCGGCCTGTCCCTTCAGTCCCTCAGGCCGCGGCCCAGGCATCCCGGTCCTCCCACGCCTAGCGACCACGGCGCGTCCCCTGCTGCGCTCCCAGCGAACGCCTATTAACAGCTTCCTTTCATCCTCCAGGGACCCAGACACCTGGAAAACCCTCGCCTGCCTCCCTAAGCAGGTGTGAGGATGAGATTAGAGCCCCACACCCAGCCGGCCAGGTCTGCGCCGGCGGTGCAAGGTTTCTCGCTGGGCCTGCGAGAGGCAGGTGTTAGGTTCTTTCTGCTGCCTTCGCCAACGCGCCCCTTGACACAGGCTCCAGGCGGGGGAGCCTCGTGGCCATTTCGGGAGGCTCCAACTGTTTAGAGAGCCTGAGAAGACTGCAGGAAGTCCTCGTGGCGAGCCTTCTCCCTAAGCTTTGGACTCAGGGGGACAGCTCAGGATGGGCAACATCTGGGCAGACTCAACCTCGTCTGGGGGAGATGGCGAATAGGGCCACTTGGCTCATGATTTTGTCACTTCCCCCAACATACTATATTCAGGTGCTGCAAATCCAACCTGGGCCCAAACTCAGCTAATTTGACAGCACCTTCTCTGTGTAATTCCCAACGACAAAACGCGATTGCAGAAGTTAGGAGGATAAGGAGTTGTGTACTATTTTGCATTTATGTACAAAATGCTTAATTTATTCATTTACATTGCAGAGTCACATGACCACTCCTTATAGCGAAAAGAAGTTCGTTAATTCGATTGGCTTAAAGTAAATTAGCTCTCCCTACCCTTTGATCAATTATTCTAGTTAACATTCTTGCTTAAGTAAAAACATACATAGTTGAAGAAAGACAGTTATGTGGCTAACACTGTTCAGTGCTAGTTACTCCACGCAAAGAACGAACTGACATTTTAAAGCAAATTGTATGCCGTTTTCAATATCAACTTTTATTCATCTCTGTTGACCTTGAGGACCAGAGGAATAACTTTTAAAACAGAGTTAGCTGATCTGTAAAAGTAATATGAGCGGTTGTCACATTTCATTTAATTAAGCATTAAATGAACTGTTCATAATGGGTTAAAGTGGCCGGGTTCAGTGGCTCCCCTCTGTAATCCCAGCTCTTTGGGAGGCAGAGGTGGGTGGATGACCTGAGCTCAGGAGTTTCAGACTTGCCTGGCCAACATGGTGAAACCCCGTCTCTACTAAAAATACAAAATTAGCCGGGTATGGTGGTGCATGTCTGTACTCCCAGCTACTCCAGAGGCTGAGGCAGGAGAATCGCTTGAACCCGGGAGGCGGAGGTTGCAGTGAGCCAACATCGTGCCATTGCACTCCAGCCTGGGCGACAAAATCGAAAATGNTTCAAAAAAAAAAAAAAAAAAAGTTAAAGTACCACAGATGTCTTGCACATAGGGTCAATTTGATAAGTATTTGTGAATTGAATGAATTGATTTAGAAGAACATTATTTTTCATTTTGCCCCAAAAGCTAAGAAAATGAATTCTTTTCTTAACAATAAGCTTTTTCTCTTTTATTTCTTCTATTAAATCCAAGAGCAGTACAACCACTCTCTTTGGTTAGGAGAATTTGGAAAAATCAAATGAAGCTGGAGGATTTTTCTTGTAGGTAGCAGCAAAAAGAGTTATTTGAACATTAAAGCTGATACTGTCCTCGGCAGGATTACTTTCCCCTCTGTTTAACAGAGGAGAACTTTAAGTGTAGCTGTTCAAAGAATAGCTGTCTCAGATCGATAGACCTGCAGGTGTTAATATGGTGGTCAGTAGCCACATGTGGCTACTGAGCACTTCAAATGAGGTTGGCTGGTCAAAGTTGAGATGTGCTGTAAATGCAAAGTTCTTGCAAGATTTCAGAGTTAGTAAAAAAAAATGTAAGATATCTCATTAATAATTATTTATATTGACAACATGTTGAAATATTTTGAATATATTGGGTTAAATAAAATATTTCATTACAATTAATTTCACCCTTTAAAAACTTTAATGTGGCCACTATAAATGTATACTTACATATGAGGCTTTCTTGTCAAGATTCACACTGTAGTTCTATAGGAGAGCACTGCTCTAGAGCTGTCTTTTAACATTGAGCCTTTTACGTATTCCTACAAATCATATAATGTGAAGTGATATCTTCAGATTCCAACGTCTTTTTGGCTTCCTGAGGGCAGAATCAGCAGAAAGGGCTGATTCAGTTACCTACTGATCCCCACCCTCCCCAACAAATCTCTCAGTCAGAACCAAAATATTGGAAAGTTATTACTTAAAACTACAGTAGAGGGAAACAGCAAACCTCAGTAGAAAATCTGAAGGAGGTTTCCAAGAAATCATTCCTAATGTATGACGGGACAACTAGATTTAACCTCCTCTGCCCCCAACAATTTCCTGCTATAATTATAACCTTTGTATACACGTTTAAATGGGCATTTATTTAACAAAATAACATTTGTTCAAAAGTGGAGTTACATCAGTCTGGAAAAGTTGCAAGATGACTAACTATGGCTCATGGCGCAATCTCTGCCTCATATACATCCAAAGTTCACAGCTCTATACATATAGATTTGTCATTGCTATAGAAAACCCAAAAAGTGCAATCATCATCCCCTCTAGGAAAAAGTTTTTTCCTTTCATCCAGATTACCCAAACTATATTATCCAAAGCATATTTATTTGGATTCGTATTTATCCAAAGCCTATTTATTTTCATCAAAAAAGAAAGGTAATCATCAGAGACTATTTAACTATTTCTTTCCAGAGAGAAAGAAAGATAAGATTTAGGCTCAAATCTTATCTCACTAAATCTTATCTCATATAAGACAATAGTTTAACAAAATACATGGTGACCTATGTTTCATGTGTGTGAATTTTGTTTTTCCCTTGAAATGTCTCAAATAAAAATTATTAAGGCTATTTTCCTCATCAATACGCATTTTAAAGAACAGGCATTTCTACATCAATCTGAACATTTTATGTGAGAAAATTTGAATTTTGGAAAATGTAAGGTTCTAGGTTCCCTTCCAGATATAAAGTTCAAAGATTTTAGAGTTGTGTATGATGAAAGACAGTAAAATCTATAAAGGTGAAGACAGTCTATAATACAAAAACATGAAATGTTTAACATTCTTTCCGGTTAGGCAAGATGGGGTCATGATAAGAGCAGAGAGAGGCCCGTGGCCAAACTTCAGTTTTCTTTATCTCTTTAAGCTTCAGCTTTGCTTAGACCAGCATGTAGTTGCTGTTCAACAAATATTTGCAGAATAAGCTTTGTTTTCTTTTCATCTGAAAATAGGGATAATAATACTTGCCTTGTATGATTGGTGGGAAGATTAAATGGAGGCAACGTCTGTAAAGCATTAAGTATGGTGCCTGCCGAGTAGGAAACATTCAATAAATGGAGCTATTGTTATCAGCTTCAGAAAGGGAGTACTCCTGCGTACATAATGTAATTCAAATATCTCACTCTTGAAAGTTACCCCTTTCCATTTGTTGTGTGAGCATTTTATTGTAGTGTGATCTATTTATTTAGGGTATTCTTGTATCACAAAAAATGATACTGTGAGTAACTTCCTGTGAAATGCAAATAAAAGAGAATGTAGAGCAACTTTTCTGTTTTTTTTTGTGCTACATATGTTGAAATGCAAATGATTACAGGTCAATTGCCTCATAGGCTTCATAGGCTAGGATCAAAACCTTGTTTATATAATGCTCAAAATAAACTAACAAATGTATGATTCAAAGTTAACA